TTAGTACTAAATCTTTAAAAGATAATTGTTTTACAAGATCTGATAAGGAAACTTTTCATAAGTGTGTTTTAAATAAATTACATCTACTCAAACCTACGCATTTTTGGTAAGAATATATAGCAGAATTTAATACTGTTGTGCAACCAGTAAACGGCAAAGTCATTAATCACCTTGATAAAGAGTTTTCGGAGGGGGGTCTTTACAGTGCTGACGGAGTCCATATGTCTTATGTGGGAAATGCAATTATAAAAAAATAATACAACCAGCCATGTAAGCTTTTATCTCCTTTTTATTTGATTTGTGGCAGGTATGTATAGACATCTCTACGTGGCGGAAATGTAAGAGAAGCAAATAAATTCGTCATATATTCATTATATTATTGTTTATGTTTGATTATTTATTTTACGTGATTTGTAGAGCATGTGGTGGCTCACTAAGGCTACCCTAGGAGCTAATACAAGCTTGCTATGGAGTGCACTAGGAGCTTGTGTAAGAGATCCGTTTTGTCTTACAGTAATCTCGTACCCCATTCAGTATAACGCGAGGTTATTTTTGCCCTATTCTATATAGTGGGCTTACATGTACCTGATCGGTATAACAGGTAGTAGCTTTGCTAAAGAATCCCCTAGGAAGCAATTACATATCCCAGCTGACTCGCTAAGGTATACCCTAGGAGTCGATTTATGCACGTTGTTACACATTGCTATGGATTACCCTAGAAGACGAGGTGCCATAACGCCCGTTACCAGTTAAGGTGTGGGGCACCCAGTGATGGTTAAATGCTTGTCCGACATTTGCCATCGAAACAATTATTAAAGCTGCGGCCTTTATAATCCAAAAGACACGTTTTGTTATTTTTCGGAAAAATATTCTATTGAACACATTTGAATGTTCACAAAGCAGATACTAGGAATGATACCTAGACTGATTTGGATATTCCTGATACATCACGAGAGCGTTTCACTTCTTCTGATTCAGTCTTGTGTTAATCTTGGGCGGATCCCAGATCTTGATCGTCTACTGTTTTCAGTGCTTTTGTTGAAGTGGTTCCCCTGATATATTTCTAGATACGCCAGAGTACAGAAGATGTTGCATCCTGCTCTAAAACTTAAAATTTTACCCTCCTTTGCAGTAAATACATAAGATTAAAATGCATTTCTTCGAATATTTGTCATAAAGTGTCATGAAAATACTAATACATCTGGTTTTTCATTGAAAGAGCGTCGTCAAAAACAAGTAGAATATTGGATCCCTTAATCTTTCAGTAGCTTCATAAATACGTGAATATTCTTTAAAAGGTTCTGTTTACACTAGTATATACAACCATTTTGGCTATAACTTGATGACCTTGTGATATTTTGAATTTGCTCATAGATTATTACAGTTACACGTAGCAGTATTTTTATGAATTGTTTAAATACAATATCTGATAAAAATGTACTCAGTATCAAATGAAATTTAAAATATGAAATGAAAAAATTATTAAAGAATATTGAAACTATAAAAAATGATTTAATGTGATATGCATTGTACTGGAACTATAAATTTCCCATATGAATAATGGCTGAGGATACACGAATTAATTTAATTGTTATCTTTACATTCCACTTGAAAACAACGTAATAAAACAATTGAAGTTGCCATTCCCATTACGTTGCAGACTTCCATCACAAAATACACAGAGAGGAGGGACAATAGCAGCACTACACAACAAACAGAAATACAGACAAACCATTCACCTAAAGCTGAGAGAAGTTGAAACAATATTAATACGCGTTCAGACTCAAGGGAGATAAATGCAAATAACAATTACGATAGAGTCCACTTAAGAGAGGAAAAGAAAGGAGGATGAAATTGAATCATCAAAGTCCGGATTCGAACACTTACTTCACACTGCAACCGATGCGGTAGATTTCTCTGTTTTTTTTTTTTTTTTTTTTTTTTTTTTTTTGGGGGGGGGGGGGGTTGTCTACAGACCAAGATATGCTTTCAAGGTGGATCGTCGACTATAGATTTAATTTGTGATTCTGAAATTACAAAAAAAAGAATTATTCAAGAAAGTCATTGGTTACAAAGTGTCGATAATAGTCTGCTTTTGTTTTCAGACATGTCTATTATGTAATGTGCTCATGATGTTGATATTATACTATATTGATTTAAAACAATTTCTCTAAACAATTGTTCACTAAGTAAAGATACTGTACATAGCGGGTTCCAGTAAATGTTCAACCAAACCTCTTTCTTTACTCCTCACTAAGATATTAACAGTAGTGAATGAGAAACTTCAAGAGTACTGTGCAACAATATATTCAAGAAGTGGTGAAAATCGGATGTAGATACTGACTGATAAATTAAAGGCTTTTTGATATCCCAAACTGCTTTATTTTCGAAGTCGACATCAAAAAAATGCTTGAGTTTCTGATTGACAATAGCTATGTTTTTTGGAAACCAGGTCTTCCAACAATCTATTTCTTTTCCCATGGTGTGAAGACTTAAATTTTTCGATCGTCAACTATCCTTACTTATGCAGCAATCTACCTTCATCGCCTGTATACGAGTTTATGTATCTCCTTTGATTCGATACGCAGGAGCATGCTCTACGTATGAACAATTTCTATAAGGAGGCAAATTACAACAGCATATAAGCTGCATACACAAGACGGAAAAAGGATAATTACTCAATATCTACAAATCAACAATAAATAACCTTGTAGATATCAATGCGCGCCAATTACAAGAGTAAATTGAAATATAACGTCTTTGACAATCATAGAATAAAGTTTACTTTAAAAATATGAAAAAGTGAGACAGCAGTGTATTTACTATTAACACATAACTCTATATCTAAGGTCTTACTCTCACCATGCATTTACTCCAGAAAAAGTGATTTAAAGAATTAAATGCAAAAATTACAGGTTTCACATTTAACAGAATTAGAATCTTATTACTTATTGGTCTGAAAGAATTACTCGCCATGCAAGAGGAAGTGTTGGTCTCTGTGTCAAATGTCTGATATGTAAAATATGTAAACTCAATAGCTAAACTATACTTCCATCACCTTCCAAGAGCAAGCAAGAATTAACCAAAAACACAAAGAAAACTTGGAGGGAAACACAAAAACCAATAGAAAAGCATGAGACAATACTAAAAAACCAATGAAAATAAAAGATACACAATGACCATGGCCAGAATATACCGTGTAACTGGATTTTTCTACGGGGTACTATTTTTTGCGAAATTCTGCGATCAAGTCTTAATCGCAAAAAATTCAATCGCAAAAAATACGTAAATGAAATCCGAAATTTTCAGTTGCGATCATCGAATTTCTACTTTTACAGATACCGGAAGTATATGTAAATAATGCCATTGCACGTTTTCAATCGTATTTTACAGGTAATTTACTTGTTATCAACAACAATGATTCTTTTTCGAATAAATAAAACGAATTCCTAAAGATCCAATATTTATTTGTTCCTACATTGTATTTCATGATTTATTTTAATGAAACCCGAATAGCAATTGTCGGTTTGGCTATTCCGCGGCTTGATCGGGTCCTTCACCAGTGTTTAACCAGATTTTTCTCAATCGGTATTCTGTCCTTGAGAAAAGAATTTCTTGTGTAATATTTCCCCTACTGGGATTATATAAACTCTTTATAATCATAAATGAAAGTTCATCGTCTATAGGAACTTACTGAAACAAACTTCTATATATTAATTTCAAAGAATTATCGTCTCGATTTCAATTCAAAATAATTGTGACTTTGTTTCTAATTTACCCTGTGAATAATAACCCATCAATTATAACAACACACGGACGACCCACAGGTGTAGTGTCTTCTATGTAAACACCCAATTAACAGCCCATGCAAGGCATTCGCTGTTTCCAGGTAAGTCCAGACTGCATCTATTTTAAGCCCGTGTCATACTGTCACGATTTTTGGCTACGACAGAGTACGAGTTAAAAAATCGCAGTAATTCGGCGTTCATCGTAGAGATAGTCGTAGCATATCTTCTTAATTCGTGTTACATCGCAGCAAATCGCCAAACGCGGCGATTGTTTTGAGAATGTACAAAACAATCGTGGTCACAGTACGATTTTTAATTATCCGTAAGTGATCGTACAGCAATCGCAATACATTCGTACACATAATCGTTGTAAATCTTCGACATTCGTAGAACACTCGCAGAAATTCGTAGAACTTCTGATTCTGCGAGTTTCCTACGATTTATCGCGAGCGTCCCAGGAGTTTTTGCGAGTGTTTCTCGACTCAAAAGGAATGTCGTACGATTTCATGCGAATATGATACGAAAACAGGCGATTGACGGCGAGTGCAATACAAGTACCGTGCGAGTGAAGTGCGAAATAGTACTATTGTACGCAATTTGGAGATTTGGAAATCTCATTCGCATCAAATTATGATTGATTGATTGATTGTATACTGTTTAACGTCCCTCTCCAGAATATTTCACTGATATGGAGACGTCACCATTGCCGGTGAAGGGCTGCAAATTTGGGCCTATGCTCGGCACTCAGGGCCATTGAGCAGGGAGGGATCTTTATCGTGCCACACCTGCTGTGACACGGGGCCTCGGTTTATACGATCTCATCCGAAGGACCTCCCCATTTAGTCGCCTTTTACGACAAGTAAGGGGGTACTGAGGACCTATTCTAACCCGGATCCCCACGGGACCATCAAATTATCAAGATAGAAACATGCTTATACAATAGATGAAATAGTTTCTGGTTCTTGGCGCATTGGAGCTAAGAGGCATTGCCATGAGAAGGATATGGAGATAACGAACAGTATTCAATCTCAACGTCCATTAAATAATATACAAAATAAGAGCAGAGCAAACACGGACCTCTGAAACATCAGAGGTGGGATCAGGTGCCATGGAGGAGTGAGCATCGCCATCTGATGGCGAGTATTCCAAATGCATTTTCTACAACGCGCATTTCTCTGCTGAGTCTATAGTTGAATATACGCTCCTCATTGGTCAAAGTCCTTCTTGCTTCATAAACCATGTCCTGAGCGGGAAGGCGTCATTACCCACGATGATATATGGTAGCTTTCTTTTATCATTTGGTAGAGGGGCAGCTTCTGGAAATCCAATATTATGATTTTCGATGACATCTTTTAATTCTGAGTTGTCAAACACAGTAGCATCTGATGCAGAACCATTTGCACCTACGTCAACCCAAATGAATTTATAGTCAACATCAACAAGGTCCATAAGAATGATGGAATGGAACCTTTTGTAGTTGTAATAAAGTGAACTTTCGTTTCGGAGGCATTTGATAGCAATATGCTTCCCATCCAAAGCACCAAGGACATGGTCCAGGTTCCATCTAATTCTGAACTGCTCAGCTAACTGTTGCCACTCATTTGTTGTTGTTGGACATGCAATTACTTTATCAGCATATTCCACTATTATACTTTCACAAACTTCACGAACCAGCAAGGAAATTGTATTATGTGGAACTCGAAATCCGTACATCAGACTTGTGTTTGACTCTCTTGTTGCTAAATACCGAAGTTTAATGGCCAACATTAATCCAGGTTCCAAAACCTTTCTAAACCAATTGTCTTGTTTTTTTAATCTGGGACTCAATCTGTCTACAAGCTCTCTAAACATGTCTGGCTCGATCTACTCTGAGGAAGTTTTCGAATGACAATACATCCCCCGTTTCAAGTTCTTTCAGCAAGCGATCAAAATATCCATACTGAGTACGTCTGGTTACCCATGGTCTTATCCAGTATCTTCTTCTTTGCCTCTGCGGACGCCCGTTGTGTAATAAAAGGGCAACTGCCTTGTCATTTTATGCAATATTCTGTTCAAGTTCCCCCAAATATTGCAGCAGTTGAAGTCTCCGCACGGTAGCTACTGCCATAATTATACAACTTCGAAATTAAGCTTAAGAATTTCAAGGAACCCTATCTCTATATATATATTCAAACCAAGTATAATAATAAGAACTCGTCACTATTCGTTGGAATATCGTGTATGCATCGTACTAACTTGTAGGTATTCGTAAGAGCATCGTTTAAAATCGTGTCTTATCGTACAAATTCGTATAAAGATCGTATTGCGTTCGTTATTTGATCGTCTTTGTTGGTACATTACTCGCCAAAACTCGTTCTGTTATCGTATAAGCCTCGTACATTGTTGAGCGGACATCGTAGTCGTATCATGACACACTGAAAAATAATCACCCTCTGTCCAAAAAATGCTAGGTTAGCGTGGCGATTGTCGGCGATTTATGGTTTTTTGTAAGTCGTGTGGAATCGTAGCAAAAATCGTGACAGTGTGACACGGCCTTTACGCTTGATTAGCGTGTATACAAGCGCAATCAAAACTTCGAGATATAGAGAGTAAAATTCAATGAAATATGTGTAAGGGGACCCTGGTTTTGGTTCGAGAGATAGAGAATTTCGAGAGATAGAAGTTCGAGAGATCAGGAGTAAATTTGCTTAGTTATATAAAGGAAAAACGAGACCGGAGGTTCACTTCGAGGTTCAAGACATCGAGAGTCACCTGTATTTTAAATTGCTTTGGTTTGTTCAATAAAAAATAAAAATAGACTTTATTGTTTAAATGTCTAGTAATAAAATTCAATAAAAATAGACTTTATTGTCAAAGTGAAATCGCAAAAATTAAAATCGCAAAAAATAAATATACCTATTTCAGGATCAAATCGCAAAAATTTGCACATGCATTAAAAACCAGTTATACGGTAATTAGAGCCCTAAGGCTAACTCTGGTCCTCTCTGGAAAATAATCATTTAAAAAACAATACACTTAACTACAGGTTAAATGAATAATTATATAATTCAGCTGTAGAAGTGTGCTGCAAGTAAAAACATACATAATTAAATTAAAATGCACATGCAATATGCATTGCTATGCACATGTGCATGATATATAAAAACATGAGTCTGTCACACACACAGTTTTTGTAAACAGGGCACGAGTTCTGTTATTGTTTATTTTACAATTCACCGGGTGCGTTCAATCGTCACAGTCTGCTTACCACAACTGCACGGACTGACAATATATTGTGCGTTTGTTTTGCTTTCGAACATGTCTACTCTGAATTTTCTGGATTATAGTATTAATTTTTTTTCATTTATACAAAACGAGATCACCAAAAAATTTTGAATTTTAAATTTTTTTTGATATGAAATAAGATTTTTAATCAATTTTTGTGTGAAATGCTATTAAAATATATAAGTCATAATATTATAGAGAATATAATAATTTCAAATCTGTGTCCAAGTACCTTTAAGTATATTTGCTCTGTGCAAGTTTTGATATCAGGGAGAAAGTCCTCTTACTGCTTTATTTGTTGAAGTACGTCCACGTAAGTCGGGAGAAAGTATTGCTTTTTCTCGGACGAATCCCGAGCTCGGATACGAGTAATAGTAAGCTTGGATATCACTGTGTAAGTTAATATGGGATTAATTTCATCTCAATCACAGTAGGAAAGCTAACCAGGTCAACATATCTTGCAAATTCCGCTTCAAAATCCGCACCCCAAATGTCATCATTTCGCGCCCCCAGGGTTATACACGGTGAGTTTTAGAAACTGATATTCGAGGAAACATTATTGGTATAAGTTGAAAATTACAGTACTAAACTAACACAATGCCTGTTAAAATTTGAGAAATAAAATAAAATACTGCTTTCATGCACTTGAGCTGTGTTATAAAAATTGTCCTTTAAATAATCAAGTATACTATAAGAGGTTCGTCAATATATACATGTACAAGTAATTTGATTGGGGAAGTGTAAAACATACTAATCTTATGGTTTCGAAAAAAAATATGGGGGAAAGAAAACGTCACGTCCTGCTATAAGGAACACTTCCAAGTTTTAAGTCTATGTTTTATTATTGATATATGTTTCAACATGGAAAAAAGGCCATGTTCGCTTTTTCTAAAAAAAAAAAAAATAGAAAAACACTCGTTGGGGGAATATTCTACATCAATCTTAAAGTAAATGTCAAGTTATTTATCTAAACTGGAAGGAAGAACGGATGTAATCTTTAATTTTTTTTAATTTGATGAAGTGTACAAAAGTTATATAAGTGATACATACAAGGAAACTGGTTATTACACCCTGGAAGTGGCACAAATGGAACAAACAAGGTTTATTTGTCTTATTCTTTTTCTCGGGGTTTCATATGGAAAACGGAACGACAGTTCTATTTGTTCAACATCCGAGTAAGTGATTTGAACGTATACTTATTAGCTTGCGTAAAAAAAAATTTGAACTAATAATTGATCCCTGACATTTTATATTCAGCAACCCAGAAAAATGTTGTTCTGGATACAGAATAATAAACGGAACCTGTACAGGTAAGGAACTTTGGGATTTTATTATAAAGTTGAAAGAACTTTATGAAGTTATGCGCTTGGGGATGATTCTATGATGATAAAAACACAGAAAAAAATATATATTCAATTTCATCGAGCAGCAATCATATTTTAAGCAGCACCCACTCACTATCTATGTATCATGCAATTCTATATAATTATTCTAAACAACATACAGTGTTATCATTTTTTATATTCAGGACAAAGATGAAATAAATATGTGCTAATATGCGTTAAAAACGGGAAGATGTACTTTATATTTTTTGGCAGAGTGTGTTGGTTTTTTTGGAGAAAACTGCGTAATTCCGTGTCCAGTAAATTTTTATGGTGTGAATTGTGATACTGAATGTAACTGTAAGGAGGAGGTAGAATGTAATCCATATGTTGGATGTCTTCATATCAAGTGTAAGATGTTTATTATGTAACAGAAAGTCTTCCTTAAAAAGACAGAGTTCAATTCTTCATTTCTGTTTATTGTTTAGATAGTTGTTAAAAACACTCTATTGGAAGTTGAATCGGACTTTTGGTTGAAGGAAGTTAAAATCAAAACAATCACATATTAAACACTACTTACTATTAAGTAATTTGATATTGATTATCTACAAAAGACACAAAAATATATACTAACTAATCTGCTAATGACACAAAAAATATATTCATATACATCGGTGATAAGAAATCAAAAGCCTGTTGAATATCTTTCTTTTTTTTAAAAAAATAAGCAAATAAGGTAGTTGAAATCGATCGCTAATAAAACGAATTTAATTGATTTCCATAAAAACAGCTCAGGGGGTAGGTTTTTTGACACTTTTCCCCGATTGCCGCGAGTATAAAAGAGGGGCGCACATGGCGTTTTCCTCCTCTTGCTCGATAGCTTAATTTCCCAGCGCTCGACACTTATGATAATTATTGAAGTACGCAAAGCCTCCGAGAACAGTTCATCAAATAAGCAAAATCATGCCACCCACAAGAGCCAAGAAGTCCCAAGCCACCGCCAATTCTACCAGGACAACCAATCGGGCCAAGGGAGCCAGGCAGCATGAGGGCAGAGAGGAGGAGAGAGAGAAGACATCTAGCCGCTGTCTGCTACGCTGAAACCAGGGCAGATACCGAGGCTAAGCTGCTCGTTACTGGTATAAAGACGAGGGAGGAAGAAATTCAAGCCTTCACGGGAATGGCAGAGGTGCATAAGCTACTCGTTACTAGCAATAAAGGTGGGTAATTTTATTTGACTAAGTTCGTGACCTGTCCCTGAGGAGGCTTCCCTATCGGTAGATAATTTCGGGGCGATGCCAAACATGGTTTGCACTTTGGACGATCGATATAGGTGACTATGTATCACTCTCTTTAAAACAAAAAAATTGGGAGGGGAACCATATAAATTTAGCCCTGTTGACAAAGGGTAGAGCTGAACTGCAGCAGTTTGAATTGCTGAGGAGAGTAGAACCATTTCACGCTTAGTTGGACTTTCAGCGTTGCATTATCGGCGCTACATGTTTACCGCCTTCCAAATGGTGAATAGATTCTTATTGGTTAAGAAATTAAGAAATAATTTAATAACATCAGGAACTTTATAGTGTTGTTGACAATGATGAGACGACTTAAGCTCCACCTCTGTGCAGGATGAGACAATGTAATTGGTTATTCGATACCCTAATTGGCATTTGCCCGAGTTTCTATCCCATGTATATTTCAACAGTAAAGGAAAGCTGTGTAAATTTCAGATGCTAGTTATGTAAGGTCGAGAATGCAAAGCCTTACTGAAAGTCCAAATGAGTGTGAAATGTTCCTTATTTTGTTTCAAACGATGTGGGGTAGCTTGAAGCTAAGTCTAAAATTTTAAATGAAACTATCATAACCATCGATAGATGGACAGATGCTTTTTTTTTAATTTCTGCAATATATATTCAAAGACATCTAGGGAGAGCAGCCGAACTGGTGAAATATATGATTGTCATTCTCGACGCGCGGCGAGGAAATTTGCGGGCATGGGATGGAGAAATTACGACGAGCAGTTCAGAGTGCGTCCAGCAATCTGTTACCGAAATTGATCAGAATTGATTTATCGCTAGGCTTGATTGCTCCCCCTGCCAAGGCCAGAATCCAGCATCGCACACACCAACCCAAACTGAGCTGATGTCTGCTTATGTTACAGAATTGACGTCACTGAGAAAAAAGAAGGTGCGTTATATGTACCCAAATCCGCCTAGTCCAAAAATCTGGTATTAAAATCTATATAAGTCTTGGATACCCGTTCTA